TGCTAGTGTTAAAATAAATGGGTTCCACTGATACCCTACAACCAGAAGAGATATAAGAACATTGTTAAGGATGTCACCACCTACATCAATAAAATATAACACTGGCACGGCAGCATTTATGCCAATTTCTGGTTGAAATGAAGATAATATACTGGAGTCAAGGGCTAACATGCCGCAATTCAAGGGATAAAAAATAACCTATAAACGTGGCAATGCTAATGCAACCACAGTCCTTGAAGCTCTGGACTACATCCTGTAACCAACTCATCCAACTGACAAGCACTTAGATTGTTTTTGTCAAATCCTGGTTGGTGGTCACCTTTGTTGCTGTCAACATTACAACTGAAGCTTTGAGTGAAGCTCTTCCTAGGGACAACGTGGGCTTCAATGTCAAGAATACGTCAGTCAAAGGTGTCCATTGAGGCAACATGGCTGTAGACAGCAAAAATGACCCATCAACGTTAGCAGCAAGCCATCCAGGCCAAATCAGTGCATATGTGCTATACTGTCACACAGTGCAAATTGCTTGAAAATCTGCTATGCTGAACGAGAAGACTGATCATCACTGTGAAAAGAAGTTGAAAGAAAATCTTGAAATCTGGTGATGCTGCCATAACTGATATGGTTTCTAGCAAGCCTATGTGTGTTGAAAGCTTCTCTGGCTAATCCTCTTCTTAGTTGTTTTGCTGTTTGCAACATGAGACAGACGGCTGCTATGAGTGTCATCAAAACAGTGGACCAGGCCCTGGCCAGTTTGGCTCAATGGCTGGGGCGTCGGCCTGCAGTTTGGAGAGACCGGGCTCGGTGTCCACTAAGGGCATGTGCCTTGGTTGCAGTTTGTCCCCGGCCCTGGTTGGGTCGTGCAGGTGGCAGCCATTCGATGTGTCCCTTTTGCGTCGATGTTTCTCTCTCTCTCTCTCCCTATCGAAAAGTGTCCTCAGGTGAGGATAAAAAACAGTGGACCAGAAGGTAGCTGGAGCTGACAAAGTCACCAAGTCTGCTCAGAAAGCTCAGAAGGTTCTAAATGGATATTATCCCTAACAACTGCCACCCCAGTCTTAACCACTGATAGAAGAACAGTCTCAGAACTGTTTGTCTCAATTGACCACGATAACACTGCACTTGTTTATAAAATGTTTTGTGAACTATTCGCTTTTTTGTGCGTGGCAGTTAAGTTAGTAGTGTTTAAGATCAGTATTTTTAATGGAAACAACTTGATCAAAATCTGTCACAAAATTTTGAGACCAATTAAAACATAGAGAGTTTAATGAGGAATAAAATTAAAAATAGAAATTTTATATGATCTAGCAATCCCACTTCTGGGTGTATACCCAAAGGACACGAAATCATTACCTCAAAGAAATGTATGGATGTATAGTAAAGAAAGACTCCCACTTCGCGGAAATTCATTTATCACAGTAGAGTCTGAAACTGATTAACCATGATAAATGAGGGCCAACTGTATAGTATTGGGAAAAACCACAATAGAGTAAAGCCGCGAAAGTCGAAGCGTGAAGTGGCAAGGGACGACTGTACTCCCGTGTTAACTGCAGCATTATTCACAATAGCGAAGATGTAGAAACAACCTTAATGTTCATCAATGGATAAATGAATAAAGAAATTGCGACATATACAATGGAATATTTATCAGCCTTATAAAAGAAGGAGATCCAACACACCTAATATACTTAATGGTGAAATACACAATGCTTTCCCCCTAAGACCAGTAATAAAGCAAGGATGTCTCTCTCATCTTCTCTTTTCTCCTTAACACTGTTCTAAAGGTTCTAGTCAGTGCAACGGGCAATAATTAAGCTAAATAAATAAATGGCATAAAGATCACAGAGGAAGAAATAAATATTTTCTATTTGCAGATGACATGATTGTTTATATAGAAAATCCTAGGGTATCTGCTAAGCAACTAATAGCACTAATACATGAATTTAGCAAGTATTATGATCAATAAACAAAAAGTTATTTTTTATAGTCTAGTAAAAATTAATTAGAAAACAAAAGTTTTTAAATTCTATTTGATATTATAAAACCATATACATTTAATAAAAAATATGCAAGACTTCTACACTGAAAAACCTCAAAATATAGCAGAGGAAAAGCAGAGGAAAAACAAGAAAAGAAGACCTAAGTAAGTGGAGATGTAAACCATGTCTATAAATCAGAAAACTCAATGTTAATAAAATATTAATTCTCCCCAAATTGATATATAAATTCATGCTAGCTTATGTAGAGAAACTGGAGAGCTGATTCTAAAATTCCTATACATATTTTAAAAACCTAGAATAGCTAAAACAATTTTAGGGGGGGAAAAGTTGTAACACTTACAGTATATGACTTCAAGACATTATAAAATATCTAAAATAACCAAAATAGTATGTTGCTAGCATAAGGATAACCTACTAGATCAGCAGAATAAAACAGAGTTCAGAAATGGACTCACATTTATGTAACTAGTTGATTTCTGACAAAGGCAGAAAAACAATTAAAGGGAAAGAAAAATATTTTCATCAAATGGTGTTGAAACAACTAAGTCGCCACAAGGGGTATAAAACAACTTGAACCACATCTCACTCACTTATAAAAATTAATTTAAGACAGATCATAGACCTAAGCATAAAAACTATAAAATTATAATCTATAAAGAAGATAAAATAAGAGAATATCTCCATTACCTACATATAGGTAAAGTTTTTTTCAACATGACCAATAATAACTATATATTAAAAACCCTCCTATATTTAGACTTCATCAGAATTAAAACCTCATCAAAAGAAAATAAATACACAACCAGACTGGCAGAAATTATTCTCAATGGATACATCTGACAAAGGACTTTATATAAGGAACATATAAAGACCTTTTAACTTAATAATAGAGAATACTCAATTTTTTTAAATGAACAAAAGAGACTTCACAAAAGATGTATGAACTCACAGTTTTTAATATGCATATATAATACATATATATGATTGATAGATGCAAAGTAGGCAAACAGATGTATATATTTGTAGATTGTATGTGTGCGTGTGTGTTTCCTTGTTCTGTACCCTGAGAGAGGCTACAGGCAATAATACAAAAGTAGCAATGAGCATACCTAGCTTGTACATAGCATTCCCAATAAAAGGTACCAGAGTCCTTAGAGAAATGGCTGATTTCAGGGCTAAGGCAGAGATATAAGATAAAGGAGAAACAGTGTGTTGTGTCAGTAGGGAATTACTCAAATAATGATGAGGACATGTCAAAAGGGAACAGGAGTCACAACGAAGCTCCCATTTCCCAAATCTGAGACAATTTGAGCATTAAAATTAATTATAGCAATGGATTGAAATCTATGTAGAAAATAATATCAGCTCCTACCTAATAACACAAATCAATGAACAAATATAAAGGAAAGAAAGCTCCCTTACTACATAGTATGTTAACTAATAAGGAAGTCAAGATGAAATCAGAAATTAAAATCACCAATGTTGAGACAGACACCATGTCCTTCCTGACATAATACATTGCTAAGGATCTAATATTACTTCTGTGATGTTCCTGACAAAAAAGCCTAACTCAAATCTAATCAAAAGGATTATAAAAAAAACTTACATTGATAGACATTCTACAGAATAACTGGCCTGTACTATATGAAAATATCAAGGTCAAGAAAATCAGAACTGTTCTATATTAAAGATCACTAAAGAGATATTAAAACTAAATGTAATGTGTGATCCTGGATAGATTTTGGAACAAGAAAAAAAATTTTTCTATAAAATTCATAACTGGAAAAATTGGTATTCATGTTAAATTTCCTTACTTTGATAAGTGTACTATGGTAATATAAGAGAATGTCTTTGCTCTTAACTACATACAGAAGTATTTAGGAACAAAAAGATTATGCTTCCACCATATTTTCAAGTGGGTCAAACAAATCTATGCAGATAGACTGACAGAATGATAAAAACAAATGGGGCAGCGGCAGTGGGAGTATGGAGGCGGTGGGGCTGGCTGCGGGGCTGCATGGCTGCAGTGGGAGTGTGGAGGCAGTGGGGCTGGCTGCGGGGCTGCATGGCTGCAGTGGGAGTGTGGAGGCGGTGGGGCTGGCTGCGGGGCTGCATGGCTGCAGTGGGAGTGTGGAGGCGGTGGGGCTGGCTGCGGGGCTGCAGCAGTGGGAGTGTGGAGGCGGTGGGGCTGGCTGCGGGGCTGCAGCAGTGGGAGTGTGGAGGCGGTGGGGCTGGCTGCGGGGCTGCATGGCTGCAGTGGGAGTGTGGAGGCGGTGGGGCTGGCTGCGGGGCTGCATGGCTGCAGTGGGAGTGTGGAGGCGGTGGGGCTGGCTGCGGGGCTGCATGGCTGCAGTGGGAGTGTGGAGGCGGTGGGGCTGGCTGCGGGGCTGCATGGCTGCAGTGGGAGTGTGGAGGCGGTGGGGCTGGCTGCGGGGCTGCATGGCTGCAGTGGGAGTGTGGAGGCAGTGGGGCTGGCTGTGGGGCAGCAGCAGTGGGAGTGTGGAGGCGGTGGGGCTGGCTGTGGGGCTGCATGGCTGCATGGCTGCAGTGGGAGTGTGGAGGCAGTGGGGCTGGCTGCGGGGCTGCATGGCTGCAGTGGCCTCTGGGCTTCTGGGCTATGAACCATGAGGCCACCGTGGGTAGGCAGCCAAGAAGGATCCTGTCCGAGATGGGGTGGCTTCACCAGCCACTTCTCAAACTGGGAAATCTAAGGGGGAGAGAACAGTTGACTAGCAGGCTCCTTGAAAAGTGGAAGGCTGAAACAATGCCCCCAGGAAGAGCTTATCAGGTTTGCCAAGAAGATGATACTAACACAGAAGCTAAATCAAGATATACAGAACTGGAGAAAGTAATTGAAGAACTCAAATCAAAACCTGTTGCAGGAGGAACTGAAAATATTATTAAGTACACTGCTAAAGAAAAACCACAGGAAAACTGCAAAATATTACAGTTTTGAAGAAACATTTTTTTCTTCATTCTCCAAGAAGACGTGTGACTTACAACATAAAATAAAAACACCACAGATTTCAGTTACACAATTCAGCAGGGAAGATGCGAGATCTCCTTTTTCGCAGTATGTCTGCCGTCCGTACCTCCTCCATCATTCAAAGAACTTGCATACACATACTGGAGAAACAGAACCAAGATCCTGTTAAAACTGAGACCTGTCTACCAGGATCCGGCAATGTATCTCACTTTTCATTCCTGGGAAAAAACCTCCACAATACTCTACCAACTTCCTTAAAACTAGGAAACTTATGGTGACTATATGATCATCTGAAAAGTATTACTGCTCAATTCAGTTATATGGGGAAAAATTTCTGAAAAATAAAAAAACAAACATTCCAGGAGGTTTTTAATTGGGTGAAAGGCATATATGACTCCATTTATCTGACATTTTTAGGAAAAACAAACTATAGGAATGAAGAAGAGATAAACAGTTGCCAGAGGTGAGAGGTAAGAGGTTGGTATAATTATAAAGGAAGCTTTTTTGGAGTGATGGGATATTTCTATATCCTGATTGTGGTGGTGCCTTCATAAAAAATGAGTGTACCACCCCTGCCCAAGAAGTGAATTTTACTGTATAATTTTAACAATAAGTACTTTCTGCCTTGGCCGGTTTGGCTCAGTGGTTAGAGCATCGGCCTACAGTCCGAAGAGGCCTGGTTTCGGCTCCCGCTAAGGGCACGTACCTTGGTTGCAGTTTGTCCCCGGCCCTGGCTGGGTCATGCGGGAGGCAGCCACTCGATGTATCCCTTTCGTGTCAATGTTTCTCTCTCTCTCCCTCTCTCTCCCTCCACTCTATCTGAACAAAAGATGGAAAAATGTCCTCGGGTGAGGATAAAAAAAAAAAAAAAAGTACAAAAATTAAACAGTTGCTGTGTCTGATAAAAGGATTTACACTTGCTATTTACCATAAAAAAACGTTTACAGGAATAAGTTACATTTACTATTCTTAAAAGTTTTCTGTAAGTTTGAAATACAAATTATCAAAAATAATGCTTTGGTATTATTTTAAAGTAAAGCAAAACGACATGAAATTATTATCCTCCTGGTAATCAACACTTAAGACCCATTGTTAGTCAAAGTCAAAAGATAAATATTTTCACATTTAACATTAGCAAAATGCACAATAAGAAATGAATAAACATATTTAAAAAACAGCCACACTAGGTAATTTTATAGTTGATACATAAAATTATACAAGTATCAGAAATAAGTATTCTTTTAATGCAATGTGCTATTGTTATCTCTTTAAACATGTTTCTAAACAGGGGCAAGAGTTTGGAAGGCTTGTTTTGAAAATGTACTTGAGCCCTGGCTGGTTTGGATCAGCATTTGAGTGTTGGCCTGCGGACCAGAATCATGGGTTCAATTCCGGCCAAGGGCACATACCTCAATTGTAGTTTGGTCCCCGAACCTGGTTGGGGTCGTGCGGGAGGCAGTCAGTTGATATGTCTCTCTCACGTTGGTGTTTCTCTCTCCCTCCCTCCCTCCCACACACTCTATCTAAAGATAAATGGAAAAATATCCTCAGGTGAGGATTAACCCCCCAAAAGAAAAAGTACTTGAAAACTATTATAAATTGATGAACCTAAAATTTAGTAAGGTAACACATATTAATAAAATCTTTCATGAGAAAAAAGACATATTTCAACACAAAAGAAATTATAATGCCACAAAGATACCATAACACTGCAAGAAAAACAAATATTAAAGAAAGAATAATTAACCTGCCTCACTAATTAATGCCTACAAACCAGTTCTTGACAAAAGAAAATGCTTCAATCAATTAGCATGGAAAATCAGACCACTACTGAGTGGTGATTTAATTAACTAGACACTATTAATCCCTGTCTGTAGTGTTAGACTATAAAATAGATAAGCATGTGGCTTCAACTGATTACTTTCAAAAATGGTCTAGTTCACTTTATAAAGAACCACATTTTTAAGAACAAATATTCTACAACCATTGTTTCCAGAAAAACAATGGTATGAACACTTAGTACTTAGTAAGTATGTAAAGCTAATTTCATCTTTTGAAAGCAGAATGATAGAGACAAAAGGTAAAGTAACTATTCTTACTCATGTAAGAAAAATTATTACAGATACAGAATAAGCCACTTTTACTAAGCAATATCCTTGCACAAGTATGCTAATAATAAATAAAGAATTAAATGATACAAATGGGCAAATAATAAAGGTTGACAATACTGGATTACCTATTGAAAATTTTACATATATACACCGGTATTTTTTGTAGAGGAGCTTCAATTATTACATACTAGCTCTTAGTCTAATAACCAAACTACACACTTATATCCTGTGCATTAGCAGAGTTACAGGTTTGCTAAAAAAGGAAACATAATATTAATGCGTCTCCAGACTACCTGGGCCTGAATGAGGTAAACAGAACTAGGAGGACCCTTACAGGAGGACCCTTACAGGTTAACCAGCCAATAGACATTTGTCTGATTCCATTTGATATTGATTGTTACTAATGTGTTTATGTTTATTCACTGAATGATTCTTATAGTTATAAATAAACATATACTTTTAAGCAATCTTTTTTAATAGCTTTTAGCAAATATATTTAGTGGAACAATAAAAACTAAACTGCAACACATTTCTAGATATAAGAAGGCAATTTAATACATTTCATCAATGATTTATTTTCTCTAAATGAAATAAATGAAGCTAAAATAATTTCTAAACTTGATGCCTTGATTCTTGTTTTAATGTGTGGTCTTGATTTTCCATAGAATTGCCATTACGTGGCAAGTAAATTTCTTCGTACGTGCGAAAACACAGAATATCTTCACACAAGGATGATATGACAATGCCCTTCAAAAAGGTTTAGAACTTTTTTCATTTCAATTTTATCTTTCCAGATACGTAACAGATCCATATGGTAAACTAGATTTATTTTAATAAACAAAAGTACATCCAAAGCTGCAAGTCTCTGAATTAGGCCTTGATAGACTTAACATCTAGGAATAGTTGGGAAACCTCGTTCTAAACTGGATTCTGGTATTGACAATCGAAAACTCTTGGCTACTTTTATACTATCTGAAACTGTTTCTCACCTATAAAAAGGTTGCTAGATGAGATCATTTTTAAGGCCCCTTTTAATTCTTTTAAATTCAATTACTGATATAAGACTATAGAAACTGACACTTCCTAGCTTTTCACAATTAAATTAATCTATGATAAGAGAATGTTTTTATTTAAAATTTTTTATATTATTATAAAACATTTTTTACTGTAACATTAGGAAAATATAAATTTTTAAGACCTCATATTTAAATGTTAGAGTTTTAGATGAACTATTTTTTTTTAATAGCAACATATCCCTAATGATTAAGTAGAGGGATCACGTATACTCCTTTTCAAAAGTTACACTGCAAAGACCCTGGTCTGTTTGTTAATGAATTACTAAAAGTAAACCAGTATAGACCCTGACAGGATAGCTCAGCTGGTTAGAATAGCTCCCAATACACCAAGGTTTCGGGTGCGATCCCTGGTCAGGGCACATAGAAGAATCAACCAATGAATGCATAAATACGTGGAACAAGAAGAGACCAGTTGGGTCTCGAAGCTACCAGGGCGTCGCAGACTGCGTGAGCTCCAAAGGAATATGAAACAGGAACTCTGGACACTGGCTTTTTTTTTTTTTTTTTTTTAATATATCTTTACTGTTGAAAGTATTACACATGTCCCCCTTTTTTTCCCTCCATTAACCAATTTCTCCCCGCTCCCACCCCTCCCCTGGCCTTCACCATACTATTGTCTGTGTATATTGATTATGCATGTATGCATATAAATTCTTTGGTTTTGGCCTTGCTGATGGTTGGAATTTTTCCATGGCAAAAGGGATGGAGATAGGACACTGTGAAGCCAGGAGGGGAACTCCTTTGAGTCTGCACCACAAATAAACTATGCCACACCACAATCTCCCACGGGTGGATCCTTGAAATGCTTTTCTCATGATACTGTGAAAGAGCCTGTTTTCCACCAACAACTAATTCACCATACATTAAAATGCAATTATTTGTTTCTCAAAACAAGCCAACAGAAAAAGAGAGAGGAGAGAGAGAATCTGAGGGAAAGAGAGGGGATAAAACAGGTAAAAAGATAGACTTCTACTGTAGTTTGGAAATTCTCATTTAATTAATAAACCGAAGAAAATTTTGGAAGGTTACTAAAAACAAAGCACGGTAAGTCATTTCTGTGTTAAGGCACAGAAAAAAAAAATCTGCAGATCTTAGTTTCTCATTGTATTAAAACATTTATTTTGCATTTTTCATCTTGCATTTAAAGTCCACAAAACTGCTGATGAGAGCAGGGGCGTTTAAAAACATTAAAAATAGCTTTCTAAATACTCCACAAACAGCATTAGAAATATTTATAAAGCAATTGTGTATAACTCAGAAGTTAGAAAGTAAATTGTTCATAAAGCTTAAATTATAACTCTGAAATGGTTATGTATTAATTATTTAAAGATACTTTTGAAAACGACTCTTTAATCTTCTTATGTTATAACCCTCAGAGTACTGCATCTGAATCTATTCACACTGAACGATACCTTAATCGGCCAGAAGTTCAAGTGACTTGCCCCGTCTCATATTTCTGTATTCTTTCTGTAACACCATGAGTGGAATTCAGAAATCAGCAATAGTAACAACAATAATAAGTATAAGTATTTAGTCATCAAATCTAGTAGGAAATTACTATTCATTACTAACGGAAATGTAGTCATGCAAATTTACTGAGTCTGCAAAAATATAGTCTGTAAGGTTAATGGTTTGTCTTATTGCATAAACCATTAAAAAACTAAAATTTTTACAAATCTCCCCTCTCCATGAGAATCTTAATCACTGTACGTGCCCTTTAAAACCCCTCCTTCCTCTTCTCAAAATAATAAAGCATTAAGAATTATTTTCTAAATGGAGTAACAATACTATGGGGAAAAATTGGAAACATGGTTCATATAAAAGTTACACACAAGAAACATTTTGGTCCACATAAACTTGACTTTCCTTGAATCCTTGTGTGAATTATTAGTGAACCTAATAAATAACCAATTCAAACTATGCAGATGATAAATCTAAAACTATGAATATTCACTAATATATACTGTGAAAGACACACAGCCTAGCAAAGACTATGTAATGCACATAAATGCTAAAAACCTTATATTTTTCAGATATCATACTAAGGTCTCTAAATTAAGAAAAATTCCTCAGAAAATGTTTATATTTGATGAAGTTCCCATTCTACACAGTAGCATTTTATAATAAAAACAGTGGTTCAATTATTTCAGAATTCAAAGTTATTTTTATTTTTGTTATAATCCTCTTTTCTCCAAAAAAAAAGAGCTGAAGTAGAAAACTGGTTTTTTGTTAGCATCTGAAAAAGTATGAAACAAATGGCAAAGCCAATAAGCTTAAAAACGAACTATCCAACTCTTTCACCAATGATACTGTAATGAAAGCTTTACAAAGGAAGAAGTGCTCAACAGAATGTACACCTTGTATATGCCAGTGAGTGTACAGACTCAACCCAATTAACTAAGGATCTGTTTCAGTTTTGAAAATACCATTAACTTAAAAACAAACAAAAAAATAGGCTGGTTGAATTTTTATGAGGCAAGAAAGAAATACTGAAGAATGACATCGGAAGATGAAGAAGACTTATTGCTCAAAATATTGCATAAGGCCAATTTGCTGTCCCTTAAAAACTGCAGAAGCTTCCTATTCTCTACCCACACTTGCAGCACCATGCTCTCCAGGTTTCTGTTTTGAGGTATATCCTGAGCAGGCACTGGAGGATTTCCAAGATTGCTAAGATAACTTTTTATAGTCACTATATCAGTTTCTATACTTGAGTTCATTTTGCCATTTAGATTTGCTTCAACCAGCACTTGATCACCCATGTTTGCCATCTTTTCTACAGAGCTCTTCAGTCTTCCAAGCTGGCAGATAAATAAAACATCACAGGCTTGATCTCTGGGCTCTGGGAAATCATCCAGGACCCCATTAGAAAGCACCCTCCCAGGCAGATCACAGCTGTGGGCAAGGGCAGCTCCACAGCCACCATGAGGCTGGGACGATGCCTGTTGGTTGGCTAGAGCTTTAGGGCAGAGGCATCCCCTGTGCTTCTTTCTCACTGCTCTGAACAAATGCCCAGGTGCCAGCTCTAGATAAATCTCTTTAAACTCTTCCGAAACACCTTCCTTGAGAAACCAGTGGAAGAAGTCTCCCCACCTCACTTTGCATCATATCCTGGCCTCCTGCGCGACTCTGGAATCAGTGTCCCAAAGCACAGCTTGTCCTGGTACACAAGAAGCACACAGACATTTGCAACTTTTGATATGGTGCTGATGATGAGGACAAAGTTCTATAAAGTCCTTGCCAGCGATATTAGCATAAAACTTCATGATACTGTGAGGGTGGCAGCCAAAGCGCAGTCAGAGTGGACATCGCGTGCCACAGCCCTTCAGGTCTCAGGTATCACCCCTCCACATCACACCCAGTAGAGGCAACACTCAGGTTCTGCCTGTCTGCAAGCCCCCTGACAAAGGCTAGAGAGGACTGCAGATCTGGGGCCTCTAAAAACAATGCCTCTATTCCTATCGTCAACTTCCCTCTACCTCCTTGCCTAAAAAGAACTTTGCTGTTTCCACTCTGATGATAAAACAATAGGCATTATATCATATAAACTTCTAGTTTAAACTGTATAAACTTCTAGTTTAAACTGTATGGGAAAAAATAAAATCATCACTCAGATAACCACTTTTCACCTCATTGGTGTATATAACACTGTCTTCATCAATCAGGAGATATAGATACAGTTATATTTGCTTTATAAAATTGTCACATGCTAAGTAAACATTCTGCAACCTGATTTTCACATATAAGCTATATGATGGGAATTTTTCTACGTTGGTAAATACAAATCTACATCATTTTCAGGCTGTTTAGTGTTCCATTGCATGGATGTATAATCAATGACATTAGGTGATTTCCAAATTTTCACTATTATGAACATGAAAATGAATATTTTTATAGAAAATATTTTTGCACATTTACCCAGTTATTACCTTGCATTACATTCAAAGAGAAATTGCTGGTCAAAGGATGCACATTTAAGGTCCTAACATGTATTACCAAACTAGCCTACAGAAAATCTTTATCAACACATAGTCTCACAAGCAACAATGGGTATTAAACATGTTTAATGTGTAAAGCAATCTGACAGGCAAAAGGAAATAAATGGTTTCAATTTGCATTGTGTATGAATTCCATTTTCACTACTTTTGCATTTTTATCAAGTCTTTTCCCTTGATTTTAAGATCTTTTACCAGAGAACATTAACTCTCTGTCCATTATAGACACTATTAATATCTTCCCCATTTTACCATTTGTCTTTTCACATTGTTTATGGTTCTCTTTGCCCTTAGGAAATTTTCAGTCTTTTGATGTCAAAAATATTGACCTTTTCTTCTCTAGTTCTACAGTCATGCTTTCATGACTTTGGAAATCACCTTTCAAAGTCACTTTAATGCCATGTGTTTTATCTACTCAATTATTAAACTGATCTGAAAGTTATTTTTGAGTATTGACTAGCTAGTTGATCACAGTACCATTTCACTAACCAATCCGCTGTTTACTGATCTGAATAGCCACTTTAATCATTGACAAAAATTCTCATTTTGTATCCATTTCTGGACAATCTATGTTTTGTCCCACTGATCCATAACATAATGATTTAATTCCCATTTTATCATTAAATTATCTCATAGGACAATCAATCTTCAGTAAGGTTCCTTAGTACAGATGAACTTTAAAATATTTTTCAGGTTCCGCCCTAGCCAGTTTGGCTCAGCGGTTAGAGCGTCGGCCTGCAGTCCAGAGAGACCCGAGTTCGGTTCCCGCTAAGGGCATTTACTGCGGTTGCAGTTTGTCCCTGGCCCTGGTTGGGTCATGCAGGAGGCAGCCACTCGATGTGTCCCTTTTACGTCGATGTTTCTCTCTCTCTCTCCCTCCCACTCTATCTGAACAAAAAATGGAAAAATGTCCCTGGGTGAGGATAAAAAAAAAAAAAAGAAAAAAAATATTTTTCTGGTTCCAAAATTAATTATACCAGAATTCTTATGGGAATTATCACCACCCTAACCATACTATACTTGCATTTCTTTGTCCACTTCAACTAAGTAGTAAGTTCCAGGAGAGGAGAGTTTTTCTGTTATTTTCTGTTATATACACTGTTGTATACCTAGCATTTAGAACAGTACCTGGCATATAACTGATGTTCAACACATATTTGTTAAATGAACAAATGTTTTAACTACATTGAATTTACTGATGATTTAAGGACATTTAAAATATTTACAACTTGGGAGACTTCCAGTCACGACGGCAGAGTAGGTAAACACTGTGCTCACCTCCTCTCACAACCATTTCAAAATTACAACTAAATTATAAAACAACCATCATTGAGAACCACCAGAAGACTACTGAATGGAATATAACTAAAGACATATTAAAAAAAAAAAAAAAAAGCCATGTAGAGACTGCTAGGAGAGGCAGAGATATGAAACAAGCAGGTACCACACCAAAAGTGTGGCAATTAAGAATAGAGAGGGATGCCCTGGCCAGTCTAGCTCAGTGGTTAGAACATCTGCCCGTGGACTAATGAGTCGCAGGTTCCATTCCCAAGGGTTCGTACCTTGATTGTGGTTTGGCCCTGGCCCTGGTCTGGGTCATGCAAGAAGCAACCAGTCTCATGTCGATGTTTCTCTCTTCCTCCCTCCCACTCAACCTGAAGATAAATAGAAAAATGTCCTCGAGGATTGGGAACAAAAAAAAGAATAGAGAGGGCTATCTCAGCTGCAAAGGTACCTCTGAGGAGCGAGGAGGGGTCCCAGCCCTACATGGAGCTCCCCAACTTGGGGAATCAGTGCTGGGAGGAGGAGTTCCTAGTAACACCTGGCTGGAAAAACAGAGGGGACTGCATCTGAGTGAGACGAAGGCTCTGGAGACTCAGGAATTCCTCTTGAGGGGCTCGTACATACACTTGCTTGTTCACAAACTCACTCACTCTTGGCTCAAGTGCAGGAGAAGCAGCATAAAAAGCACCAAGGAGCCCTGGCCGGTTTGGCTCAGCGGTTAGAGCGTCGGCCTGTGGTCCGGAGAGACCCGGGTTCGGTTCCCGCTAAGGGCACGTGCTTCGGTTGCAGTTTATCCCCGGCCCTGGTTGGTCGTGCAGGTGGCAGCCACTCGATGTGTCCCTTCACGTCGATGTTTCTCTCTCTCTCTCCCTTCCTCTCTCTCCCTCCCTCTCTATCTGTACAAAAAATGGAAAAATATCCTCAGGTGAGGATAAAAAAAAAAAAAAAAAAAAAAGCACCAAGGACATACAGGGAGGAACTAAACTGAGTAACTTCAGGGCTACAGCTGGAGGGACAGGGGTCAAGGTTGCTCTCTCCTGGACAGAAGTGCTAACAGGTGCCACTGTTCCTCTGTTGAACTCTCTTTTCGCCCAGACAGCCTGATGCAGGTGGGCACCAAATCAGAGCTCACCCTTAACCTGGATAACACCATTTGCCCCATCCTGATGATTCCCAAACCCTGTTCCACCCAACTTGCATGCATGGCTGAACTTCTTGCCGAGGCTCTTCCACACAAGCAGTCTATCTAAGTTCTGGCTGTGGACTTCCCTAAAATCTCTCAAAGGCCCACAAACCATAAACAAGCAGCAACTAAACTCACCATGCCCTGCACATCTTGATAAGCAGCCCCAAACCCAGCACATTCAGCAATTGGTCCCAACTTGCATTATTACTCCCATCAGGTGTTCCCAAGCCACACATAAGCAGCAGCTTAAACTAAGTGGGCCCAAGCCCAGCACAAGTGGCGACTAAACTCGGATCACACTGTTGTACCCACCAAAATGTCCCAACCTTGGCATTAGAGGTGGGCACCCTCAATTCGCAGCACAGCCTCTCCCAAGCACATCCAAGGTCAGTACAAGTGGCAACCAACTGCAAATCACTTTTTACTTCCTACAAGGCAGTCCCTAACTAGGCACAAACAGCGACTGTCAACATACCCAGAGGCCAGCTTCAGACCATGTCAGAGCAATATCCAAACAGCCCCACAACAACACACCCAAAGGGAAGACTCAGCTGGCACAAGAGCCACGCTAAATCGACTCCCACTATGTGGGGGGCAGCCCACACGTACACAGATCGCCTACTAGTAACAACCAGCATTCAGCCAGTCAGCCTGAGGGTCAACCCTAACTACTAATGTGCCAACAGCAATCAAGGCTCAACTATAACAAGAAGGCATACACAACCCGCACAAGGGACAACTCTGGAGCACTTAGCTCAGGAGACCAGAGAGACTGCACCATGGGGCCCCATAGGAAACCTACCACATAAGGGCACTCTGCCAAGACTGGGAAATGTAGCTGATCTACCTAATATGTAGAAACAAACACTGGGAGTCATCCCAAATGAGGAGACAAAGAAACATGCCCCAGATGAAAGAATAAGGCAAAACTCCAAACAACTACATGAAATGGAGACAAGCAACCTACCAGATACTGAGTAAAAACCCTGGTTAAAAGGAAGCTCAATAAATTTTGGTGAAGAAGAGATGAACTCACTGAGAACGTCAACAAAGAGATAGAACATTAAAAAGGAGACAGAAAACATAAGAAAGAAAAAGTCAGAAATGAAGAATACATTAACTAAAATGAAGAACATATTAGAGGGAATCAACAGTAGATTAGATGAAGCGGAGGATCCAAGGTAGCAAAAAACAACCAAAATGGCAACAACAAAAAAGAAATTTTAAAAAATGAGGATAGATTAAGGGACTTCTAGAAGAACATAAAGCACACCAACATTCACATCATAGAAGTACCAGAAGGAGAAGATAAAGGGATTGTAAACCTATATTTAACAATAATGACAGAAAACTTCCCTAACCCGGAGAAGGAAATAGATGTACAAGTCCAAAAAGCAGAGTCATAAAAAGACTTACAACCAGGATTACTCTACCCAGCAAGGCTATCATTAAGAACTGAAGGGAAGCCCTGGCCAGTTTGGCTCAGCGGTTAGAGCATCGGCCTGCAGACCAGACAGATCCAGGTTCAGTTCCCGCTAAGGGCACATACCTCGGTTGCAGTTTGTCCCTGTCCCGGTTGGGGTTGTGTGGGTGGCAACCAGTCAATGTGTCTCTCTCTCTCTTCTTCCCTCTCTCCCTCCTGCTCTATATGAAGATAAATGCAAAAAAAAAAAAAATGTCCTGGGGTGAGGATTTAAAAAAAATGAAGGGAGGATAAAATGCTTCCCATGCCCTGGCCGGTTTGGCTCAGCGGTTAGAGCATCCGCCTGCAGTCCGGAGAGACCCAGGTTCAGTTCCCGCTAAGGGCATGTACCTTGGTTGCAGTTTGTCCCCGGCCCTGGTTGGTCGTGCGGGTGGCAGCCACTCGATGTGTCCCTTTCACATCGATGTTTCCCTCTCTCTCTCTTTTCCTCTCTTTCCCTCCCACTCTATCTGTACAAAAAATGGAAAAACGTCCTCAGGTGAGGATAAAAAAACATAAAAATAAAAAAAATAAAATAAAATGCTTCCCATACAAGAAAAGGATAAAGGAGTTCATCATAACTAAACCAGTATTACAAGAAATGTTAAAGAGACTTCAGTAAGAATAAAGTAATTGAAAATGT